TGCCACTGCAACCTTGACTGCCACGATGTACTTGAAGCGCGTCAATCTCCTCAAGCTGTTATCGCACTCAACTCCCAGGTTGGGCACGTAAAGCCACAGTCGAGGCACGTATGTTGCCTGCAGGCACTTCTCACATTCAAGCCATACCAGCCAGTGCATCATCGTCCGACGTAGAGCCACAATGCTGATACGATCACCTCGAGAGCGTACTATTCCATGGCTCAACGGGAAGGGCGTGATACGCCTCCGATCAGGTCCGAGATTGAGGATTGGCGTTACCCCAGGCCTTAGTTGACATTTCTGTGCCCTTGGTGACTTCATACAGCCGCTGTGACCCAGGCTGTCATGGCCTTCACTGCATCTGCATCATGAGCCCTCAGCAGCTCGGTGGCCTTGGTCTTTGACATGTCTAGCTGATCAGCCTGTTCACAAACCCATCAGCACGTACTTCTAGCTCATATTGAAGCATCTCATGCATACTAGCAGGGCAACATCCGCCTGGTCCACCTTGATCAACTTCTTCGGCTCCTCTTTCTTCGCAGCCGTCAAGCTCGATGTATTTTGCTCCTGCGACGCCCCAAGGTTCTTCATGGCATCGTTCAGTGCTTTCAGATCCATCTCCTTAGGTGCGGCATCGTCCTCGCCTTTGACATCAAGCGAGGACATTGCCTGCGCGGCCTTTCGATCCTCCGCATTCGCTGGCAAGACATCAGGGGCGTCAGCGCCCTCCTGGACGTTTGAGGGTTGCGGCTCTGCCATTGTGTATGGTATAGTAGGTGATAGGTGATCGAATGTCCAAGTGAGGTCGGCTTGGCGGCCGTAGGGCTGAATAATGGACTACTTCACTTCGGTTGTGACTCGTTATATCTCCTCTACTTGCATCTGAGCGCTATCGGATTCGACTTCGGCGTCGTGTACGATCAAAGACTGAAGTACCAGCTGGACTCACTCCAAATCAAACATTCTCTCTTCCGAGCAGCGAAATTTCTGGCCAATTGTTCGCGGACCATCTTGAATCTCAGTCACAGTTGACGAGATGACTACAAACGGGACGACTTCGTCTTCAGGCTGGTCACCTTCCTCCTGGAGAACGAAGCCCATCAAGCAGCCCGTAGCCTACGAAGACCAAGCAGCTGTTGACAGATCTACCGGAAAGCTACGCCGTCTTCCACCTATTGTAACACCAAAAGAGATATGGAAGCTCCGACGAGCACTCGCGGAAGTGGCTCAAGGCAAGGCTTTTCTCCTCCAAGGTGGCGACTGCGCCGAGCTCTTCGACTACTGCAATGACCAGGCCATTGACACGAAAGTCAAGCTCCTCCTTCAGATGTCGTTGGTTCTGATCTGGGGAGGCAACAAGCCGGTGGTCAGAATAGCACGCATGGCCGGACAGTACGCAAAACCACGGAGTTCGCCTATGGAGACAGTTGACGGGAAGCAAATGCCCAGCTTCCGCGGCGACATACTGAATGGGTACCCGTCAGATCAGAGGGATATTGACCCGGATCGACTAGTACAGGCGTACTTCCACTCTGCTGCAACGCTGAATTACCTCCGAGCACAGTTGGCCTCTGGCATTGCAGACCTCAATAACCCGTTGGAGTGGGATCTGGGTCATGTTGGTGATCCCGAGCTGCAGCAGAAGTATGCACGAATCGTCGAGAGCATCAGTGAATCGCTACGTTTCATGCGGACAGTAGGAGCCGACACCGCCGGCCAGCTTGAGACCGTTGACCTTTTTACAAGCCACGAAGGACTTCTGCTAGAGTACGAGGAGGCATTAACGAGAAAGCTGAAGCATCCATCCAATCGCAACGTCGCTCCAAGACCAAAGCCAGCTCCCAAGGTCTCACCACTTACAGGCGGCGCTCTAGTTGATCCTTCCATTGTCGAAGAAGCAGAAGTAACAGGGTACTACAACACTAGCACGCACTTCCTGTGGGTTGGTGACAGAACTCGACAGCCAGATCATGCTCATATCGAGTACTTCCGTGGGATTGAGAATCCAATCGGTATCAAGGTTGGCCCTACGACCAGCACAGCTGATCTTGCACAACTGCTCGACATCGTCAACCCGCGGAAAGAAATCGGCAAAGTCACGCTCATCACACGCTACGGTGAGGGCAAGGTCGACGAGCTACTGCCCCAGCACATCGAAGCCGTGCGCAGGACAGGACATACAGTTGTCTGGCAATGTGATCCTATGCATGGTAACACTCGTTCTACGACTTCCGGGATCAAGACAAGATCTTTCGCATCAATCTTCTCGGAGCTAGCATCGGCACTGCGCATACACAAGGAGTGCGGGTCATTCCTTGGTGGTGTGCATTTGGAGCTGACGGGTGATGCGGTGACTGAGTGCACTGGGGGTAGCGAAGGGTTGCAGGATGAGGACTTGGGGGCGAGGTACGAGACGTTTTGCGATCCAAGGTTGAACGAGAAGCAAGCATTGGAACTTGCGTTTCTCGTCGCTGGAAGTCAGCGTGGCGAGGAGCCGTGATGATTATGATAGATTTGGCTGTCTTTAATCCTCATATGGGCATGATTCTATGTCGTGAAAGGCATGCCGGCAACTTGAGTCATCATCTCGAGTGCTTCAATCAGTCGCTCTTCCTCATATCGGCGTCCCACAAGCTGCAGCGATATTGGCGCGTCGACGTATGTCTCTGGCTTGTCTGGTAGAGCATCAGTATGAACAATCTATGCCAACAATAGTACTGCACTTACAAAGCTCGTGATTGTAGCGATCTTGTGCATTTTTTGGCTCGTAGCCCTCCTCAGCTTTATCCTCGGACCCAGCTTGTAGACCAGTCGGGAAGATCAAGCACGGGTAGTCAAGCAAGTTCCACTGCGATGTGTAGCCTGAACGGTAGTGAGTATAATCGTCAGCAGATGTCTCAGACATACAAGAGGTTTCACTTATCGGCGACGTACCCCAGTATCTCGAACAATCATGAGGAGGAGCGCAGCCGGGTCCGGTAGGCGTCAGAATCACATCCACCATCTTGTCCATCTCAGGTATGGCGCCAACTTCCACTTCGCTGGTCTTGTCCGGACCAGGCTGGCTAGTGTTGATACTGTTCCAATGCTGGTTGTAAGCCGCCTTGTAACCGTCTCGATCCTGAGTCAGCCTCCATAGCTCGGAGATTGACAGATCTTTCACGTTCTGGTTGTCACTGATGATGAAATCGGTAAGAGGTCGCCACGGTTCTCCCGAAGCGTCAATGGCTTCTCGCTCTTCCGAGGCACCATCTGCGAAGTAGAGGCTGCTGATGATCTGCCATGCTTCTTCGTGCTTGTAAGGTGGGAAATCTACGAGCTCGATGTCTGGGTTTTCGCGAAGTTTCGTGACCAGCGTGTTGATGCCGCGCAGTATCGGAGGATGTGGCTTCACCACGCCATCGTCTGCCAATATGCCGATGCGGAGCTTACGTTTTCCGTCGCTCTTTCGAAGTAGGGTAGCGGACGGAGCTTCTTTCCACGGCATGTTGACAAGACTCGGCTCATATAGCCAAGGCTGCTGATCGATGAGCGTCTTCATGAAGACTTTGACGCCTTCCAGGCTGGTACTTAGTGGCCCTATCACCGGAATGATGTGCTCGCTGCCTATCATCGTCGCCGCCCATCCTCCCACAGGCAAGCGAAAGCTGGTGGGTCTCAATCCAAAAACGCCATTGTTGGCGGCTGGGCTGCGAATCGAGCCGCCGATGTCAGTCCCAATTCCGAGACAGGATCCATGCATGCCAATCAAAGCACCTTCGCCACCACTGCTACCGCCACTGGTCAGAGCTGTGTTGTATGGGTTGACGGTGACGCCGTAGATGTTGTTATCGGTCTCCAAATGCATCAACGCTTGCGGCTCCGTGGTGCGGACATAGAAAACAGCACCTGCTTTTCGCAACAGTTTCAGGATGAGTGCATCGTCTGGAGCGATCTTGCCAACCCAGGACACAAATCCAGCGTTATTATCTAGACCCTTCATCGAAAGGTGCTCCTTGACACTGATCGGCAGGCCATGCAGCGGGCCTATAGGTTTGCCATGCTTTGCGAAGTGGTCGTCCAGGATCTTCGCTCGGTCCAGTGCTCGGTCTGGTAGAAGCTCAGTAACGCAGTTCGTGAGTTTGCTTGCAAGACCAGCACGTTGCAAGAAAGCCTTGGTGACTGCTGTGCTGGTGAGTTCGCCGCTTGCGAGTTTCTGTAGCAGATGTTCGGTCGGGGTTTCTGTGATCGAGATGACGTCTTTGGGCAGTAATTGAGCGGGTATGCCTGTCACGTTCAGAGGGACGTCCTTTGGTGGATCAGGTACCGCGGGATTGATTGCTGCTATGGTCTCCTCGCGGTGCTTTATCATCGCAGCAGATATGTCCTGCCATGACTTCTTCGTTCCGGCCGTCATCTTAGTGATGTCAATATGTGGATGTGGTGCGGTACAGCGTGTTTGATGTAGAGATGAGATGTTTATGATACTACTTTCCTAGTGCTCAGATGTATTGAGCGGCCGCGAGGATTGTTGATAAACAACGATAGGCATCTCGAGGAGATAGCGGCCAGCGAAGGCCAAGCGGAAGCTGGAGCTGCTGAGGGGTGCATTATCTGGCTGCCGGCCGGGTTGGGCTGAATTTCGTTGGCGTTTCGCAGAGAACACGGCAATGATTACTGATGATCGAGTGTTAGAAGATGAGTTCAGGTTGACGTGACGTGAGCATGGAAGGCACGGGAGGGGCCGGTCTGCCAAGCATTGCGGAAGTGAGCTTTGAATTTTGCTCATATCTCGAGTAGAGTTCCACCCCCACCAACCCAGCCTGTGAGACCACACGAGACTTATACGCTGCTTGAGGGGTGCAGGGAGTGACTCACACCTCTACCGTCAAGGCTCAACCTCGGCTGGAAATTACATAATATATATTATTACAATTGCTCTTCAAGCACAAATCAACCGGCCTGTAAGTGTCCGAAAAGTTCGAGTGCCTGGCTACTCCGAGTTCTAACACAATTTACTAGGCTGGCTCAATGGTAGAGTGCCTGACTACGAATCAGGAGGGTAAGACCTCCGAGCACACTCGCATCCATCAACAACAATTCTGACGACTTCGACAGTTGCAGGGTCAGTCATACCATCAACCTTTCTTCTACTTATGTACTGACAGTGAATAGTTCGAGCCCTGCGTAGGTCATCCTTGATAGTGCACCATGGTGTACGATGCTTTTTGCGTTGTACGGCTTGTTAGCTTTTTTTTTCGGGCCACAGCAGCGACCACAAGTGTCGGGCCACGAATGCAATCTAACGATATCACTACAACAAGATCGATTTCGCTGCTTTGATCCAACACCGAGCAAGCACAGCCAGCTCCTACGTTTCACTTTCATAACTTCCGATAGTCAGCATGAGCCTGGCATCAACACCAAGCGCAGCATGCAGTATGGCTGGTAATGTGCTTGCCTTGCAGAGCATTCACCCAATGCCTGCCACCGACTACAGCACTAGTTTCATGCACACTTCCAGAGACTGCACTTGATACAGAAACCAACCAAGCAGGACATGTATGACAAGCCTCCAAACAGACTCCTCGTGTTGTACATTGCTCGGCCGGGCCTGCTGCCTCTCGAACCTGCAATGTAGCTACCCGACGAGTTTGAGTCGTGGCCATGCATGTGAAGATGGCAAGGTGACTGGCCTGCAGGTAGCCTAAGTGGGCACTGCTATACTATATCGTGACATTTGGTCTTCTCGTGCACTCAAGTTAAGCTATCACAACTCAATAAGCGAGGCAAGGTCTGCGTAGACTAGAAGATACTTCTATAGCACCCTTGCGACCTGCAAGGTTTATCGAGTTATGTCGGAAAGAAGCGGTTGTTGGATGGGCCCCCATCTGGCCGATTTGAGGACGAGCTCGGCAATGTTGGGAAGGCTTGGAGTATGTTTCCTGCATGTGACAGCAGATCGGTGGTGCTTGTTGCTACCGGTCTCCTTACCGTAGACCGCTTCTGTGTTCTCGTCATCTGAGACATGATCCTCATGGTCCAAGGACAGGAACAGGATCCATGAGCCTTGGGAGGGACATAGACTTCGCTAATCCAGGACTCAACCAAGAAGGGCTTTGGCTATGCGAAAGTGTTGGCGCACTGATTCGGTCCAGTGCGGATGATCGTCTGGCCTGGGGACGAAGGTAGGGTTCACAGGCGCGGCATGTCTGGATAGAAGGCCATTCCGACTCCCGGCTCTCTGCCGCCAGGGGATTATGACCAGAGCTGTTCTTGGCAAGCGACTCTAGCGCGAAGCAAGGATCTGCGACACCATTAGCAAGGCTATCGCTTCATGTACCAGACACCGCAACTGCGACTTTCAAGCTTCTTTGGCACAAAGGAATGTCTTGTACACGTTCACGCTCTGCGATCGCGAAATGCTAATATCTGCGGAATCACGAGCAAGATATCTGCGTTGAACAACATCATAGTATCGAAACTCGTGACTGCGCAATGCAACCATCTCCGAACCGCAACAGTGCCACGTACCTTCTCATCCCGTGAGAAGACCACAATGCCACTTCAAGATCGCGAGAAGACCAGAGTCCAAGACGCATCATAACCCAGAATCTGCAAATCAGTAGAGAAAGCCCAGTCCAAACCTTTTTTGAAGGCAGAAGCCATTCATGAAATCAAAGTACGCAATGCAGCCGTCTCTGCGCGTTAACAGTGTCATCTACCCACTCAACTCAGGACCAGAGCACGTCTTCACTCCGGGATCGCGAGGCAAGTGGATTTAACCCCCAAGACCTGAGAAAATCATGAGCAAAAATCGGTATTTCATGGGTATAGCAACAAAGTATTTGCCAAAATCCTCGAATTTCGAGATAATCCGGATCTCAGCCATCCCAAGATCAACGCCAACCGCTATGCACCTCCGTGGCCCTATCTTCATCCTTTACGCCTTGCCTACTTCGAGACCTTAGCCTTCTTCTTCGGCCGCTCGACCATCGCCGCCGTATCCCTCCCCTCCCCTCCATCGCTAGCATCTTCCATCTCCGCATCACTATCGCCCCCGCTAGACCCTGCATCACTGTCGAACTCCTCCGCCACATCACTCTCATCACCACCCTGGAAATCCTCATCCACACTCTCATCATCCTCATCCGCACTCCCGCGCTCGGCGTTCTGCACGATCTCCTCATCACTACTCGCCAGATCGGGATTATCCAGCATGCCCGCCGCCAGCATCCCAGAGTCCAAATCCATCTCATTCCTGAACGGGATATTCTTCGCTTTAAACAGATCCTCCAGCGGCTGCTGCTCCTCGCGATTGATGTTGGAGAAATTGTGATCGCCCCCGCCACTCTTCAAACTCACGGCAATATCAAAGGTTCGGCTCGCACTAACAGCCCCCCCGACACGGCTCATGACCACCATCGCCACGTTCTCGAACGAAATATACGTCGCCGGCTTCGGCACGAACAGAAACGCGCGATCCAGGCAGTAGAGATGGCCTTCATTAGCTTTGATGCTGCATTTCACGCCGCTCTGGCCGTGGTGGGAGATGAAGAGTGGTGAAGGTTGGAAGATCTTCTTGCCTGTCAGGCCGTGGAAGATTTTGGCAATGACCTGGAAGAGCGGTGCTTCGTAGCGTGGTTGGAGTTTGCCGTTGTATTTCTCTTGGAGATCGGAGTCGGTCATGTTGAGCTCGATGTTGACTTCTTCTTCGCGCTTGAATTGCATGACGATGAATGGGTATCGCGTCTGTCCCTGGCGGAGAGGAGGATCGAGACCGATGCAAAGCAGGGTGTGCATGTCGTCGGGCTTTGGTAGCAAGAAGAAGCGTTTGGCGTGATCGTAGGGAACTTTGTAGTCGTACGTCTTGCCTCGCAAACGGAAGGATTTCTCGTACAGGTCGCAGTCGAAGCGTCCACGAGGAGTGAGATGCAGGATATCGAGGAAGGTCGCGAAAGTGTCTCCCGCAACCTCGCCGATCTCAGCCTTATCCATGAGGGTTTCGTAGAAGACGGTGGCAGCATTCTGCTCCTGGTCTGCGGCTGCGGGCTCATCGGCATCAGAACCAGAACCTGCATCGTCTTTCTTCTTGCTCTTCCGCGTCTCTGTGCCCGGGATGTAAAAGCGCATCTCCGTCAGCTGGTCCACGGCACCTCCCATCTTCCTGCCTTTGCTCCTCGCTCCTCCGAGATGCCCGTTTGTGCCCGTCTCCTCTCCATCCGCTGGCAGAGAGAACTCCACCGCAACCTCGTTCTTGCCCGCCAGATTCGTGTTCGAGATCTCGGTGTAGGGGATCTCGAACGCCGGCTTGTTGCGCACGCTAAACGCAAACTCGTTCCGGCCCATCTCGCTCTTGCCCCAGTTCCAGCCCTGCAACGCGTGCTCGCGCTGCGCCATCTCGACGCCGTACCAGACCTTGAAGCATTTTTGGATTGTGTCGAAGTCCTGCCTGTCTGTTAGTGACTGTTACAACCCTGCACTGTTGTGTGTCTTTTAGCGCACATCCTGCCTGAAGCCATCTAGCTGCACCACGCCCGCGTTCCTCGCAATCACCTTCAGCTCATACCCTCGTGCCGCCCGACTCCATTGTCCGCTGATCATATCCGCCTTATCGAGTGTGAAAGTGTTGCCTCCTGACGGCTTCCAGCCCAGTCCAGACTCGGCAAGACGACATTTGCCCGACTGTTTCGAGAGGTCCAGATAGATATCGTCGAAGGACTCCATGGTGTCGTCTCCGAGGTGTCGCACTGCTTGGTGAAGCTTTCGACCGCGAACGTACCACGAGGAAGTGTGGCAGGTTGGTGATATTGGATGTCGGTGTTGCTGATGTTGAAGTTGATGTTAAGTTAGGTTGTCAAAGTGGTTGCAGCTTCCAGGATCGCGCTTGAACGCGACCTCAATTTGGCGCTAGTGAGCTTGGCCTGAGGTTCCAGGGTGGCGAATATTACATGCATTCGAGCAACATCTCCACGAGAGCAACATCGTGAACCCTTCATTCATGGTCGACCGAAGGCGAGAACACAATTTCGTTACAGAGAGGTGCACTGGTCTGATAACGAAAGTGGTGGCTTCGCAATACAATATCTCCAAGACAATCAAAACTTGATATGCCTCCTATAGCCAAAGAATTAAGAGACTGAGACAGGATCAAGGGTGCTTTGGATGTGCTACCCAGTGAGGTGTGAGTTGACCTCGAGTCTCGGCTCATTACCTGAATCTCCATGTTGCGATGACATGGTCTGGCTGTGCTCGATCAGCACGCATGTACAGACAGCGTCAAAGGACATAGAGGAGCAGCGAGGATGTTGTTATATATGGTCTTCCATTTTCATTTGAGCTGCGTGTCCGCGCTATGCTATCATGCTCATCGTATAAATCATAAGGTCAAATCCGTGCTCAGCCATCCGGAGGCGCGGCATCAGTGGTATCATTCCCAAGTCCTCCAGCAGAAGCATAGTTGTACATCGTTCCATCACTGCATCAAGCGCTCAAGCTCGGCCTCATCCTGGATCCAGGGACCTCTCTCCTCTTCCGTCGCACTGAAGACGCCATCTGCCCTTCTCAAAGTCTGCACATCGAGATCGGTGACCCATTGCCTCGATCCATCGTTCAGCGGTATGCGTACCTCATGATCACCATCAAGCATCATGTCGTCCTTCCATAGTCTTCTCTGACCATCATAGACACAAAGGACGCGCTTCTTCATGCGCATCTTCTCTGGTGCCGCGCCCCAAGACAGAGGGTAGTTCTTCCTCCTCTTCGAGCCCTTGCCAGACATGACCAGAGGCACGCCGTTCTTGCTGCGTGTCAAACCCTTCGAGGGCTTCCCGACGGCACCGTTGGCTGTCAGATGGCTGCTGCCAACGGTGGACGGTAATTGTCAACTCGAAGTCGACGACCCGTTGGCCATTTTCCGTGACTTGATAGCGCCCTTGCCGGACCTGCCGGTGCGAGTGCCGTACGTGCCATCCTCGTCATCATCCTCGTCGTCATCTTCCTCCTCTTCGGCGTCGTCCTCTTGGTCGAAAGCAGTGTTCTGGTCGACGGTAGCGGGCAGACCATGCCTTTCCATCGTCTCCTGCACCTCGATATC